CCATAACAAAGAAACCTGTACTCGCCCATTAAAAGTTCATCCTACGGGCCTTTCGCTCAGCTAAGTCATTAACAACACTGCTCAAGTCCAAATTCCTTGCTCTGCTGTTCTCTACTGAGAGTATAGCCAATCCACTGAGTCTTTCTTGTCCCATGCTGCTTGCACTACTAGTCACTGCTGAAGGCGCAAAAGGGTCCAACCACGGACACTAGGCAATTGTCACTGTCCCTTGTGAGACCTTATAATAAGCTGGGCCCACACTAGTGGTACTTACACCACTGTTTGGTGGGCAGCTCAAGGTGTTTCCTTGCCTTGCCACCACCCTGCCACTGAAGTCTAACATAGGCTTCAGCCGCTATGATGATGGGTAGAATCACTGAGTAAACCAAATGAATGAATGGGCTTCTGTTGAAAGAAACATAACAAGTATGGCCAAGAGAGTTGAGTTCTGAATGCCAGAAATTCTGCTATCATCTCTGTCACACACACCTGGAGATATTACTGTCATTTTGTGCGATGGGGCAGTGAAAATCTTTCTTGTTTCCCCTTTTAAATGTCACAGGGTTGGGTTCAATGCTGACAGCCATAGGTCCTCTTGGCTCAAATGTGAAGTGTTGATCGGAAGCAGCTTCTTCTAGGCTTTACAGTACCTTTGACGTATTGATATTCAGTGACATTTGAATTCCACAAGTTTACCTCTTCTGTTCTTTTTTTTTTTTTTAACCATATTCATAGGGGTGGATTCGGGCGACATTATTTTTTTATTTTTGATAAGGGGAAGCCAGAGTCATTGGCATGGCAGTGTTTACAGTGGAAACCGAGATCACCTATTTATGCATGTCATATGAAAACATTTGTTATTCAGCAGGCCTGCCAAAACTAAGGCTAGAATGCATGATGAAAATGGTTATTTTACATTTTTCATCTGATTGACAGTGAAAAACAGGAACTTGCCCCTGTGACAAATTTGTTCTACTGTATGAATCATATCTTTTCTGGTATTGATCACAGCAGCGATGACCAGACGTTCAGAGGTGTCCATCTTATTATAGATTCTGGTCAGTATTGGGAGGATAAAGCATGTTTTTTTTCCACATTACTGTAGGTGAATACTACATCCTGTGAAATCCCGGATCTTTACAAAATTTCTCAGTGTCAGGAAATGTTGCCCCATGGTTGAGTGAACAAAATGTCAAAGGAGCTTAGCTGTAAGCCAACAACGCAGCTCTTTATATGATTCTGTGGACCAAGTTATATCTTCACCACAAGCATGTCAATAGATCATAGCTGTTGTCAGTTATACAGTTATGATCTATTGACTGCTTGTACTGCCAGTGCTTACTAATTCCGCTACATCTATTGCTACTGTATAGAAACACTAAAAAGCCTAAAGATAATTTAAAACATATGGGAAATATTTAGCAATCAAGCCCACATTCCAATCAAAGCACTCATCATCCAATTAGACAGGAAGTGGCAGATGGCCGTGGACGAGGACAGCTGGTTTTGAGGTTTTCACTGTTTGTCTGTCCATCAATGTGTCAATCATTTGCTGCTCTTCCTTTAGCTCTCACAAGTTTGAAGCTGAGACTGTCAAAATCATCAGGAATGTGTCATGAGCACCCTGCTTCACAGAGATGAGGAGTGGTGTTGCGGGTGTGTGATGAAGCAAGAGCTCCATCTAGTGTTATGGGGTTGTTCATTATGACCAGCTTTTAGTGTGTCTGGCCCGGAGGTTTCCTTTAAAACTTAAGATGGATGATTACAGCATGATGTTTTAATACTCTCAATCTTACCACCAGACACTCAAAAAGGTCTGTTGGTGCAGTAGAGATTCGGATATATACCAATTCAGTCCAGTATATTGGAATGAAATGCACTCTTAAATAAGGACTCACTCTATTAAGACAGTCCAGTCCTGGTATTCAACTTACTATAGCTATAGTGTGTCTCTAAGAGTCTCATTTGGTAGACTTCAATGAAATGTAGTTCATGGTGTGTGACTATATTTCAGTATTCGACCTAGGTTTTAAATGTGGTGGAATTTACCAGCTGAACAACATGGACTGTCCCAGGGCTCCATATTCCAAGGGGGCACCAAAAAAACGAATTTGCTTGTGCTAATTGTAAATTTGTCAGGGACTTTGCAACTCTATAGTACAATATCAACTGAGGTAGGTCACGTATTATAGCCAGACTCTAATCTTAACACTTATTACTGTGTTATAGTTTATATAATGTTCACGTAGTAGATATTCATAAATAAGTTGGTGTGGAGATGTTATAGGGGCCCATCAGCAAATGTTTACCCCAGAACACTCTTTGCTGTAACACTTTTGTTGACAGCTATATCAAAATTGCACTATTCAAATTAAGTACATGTAAATTCTCAACATTTGCGTGTAAGAGGTGGTGGATTATATTGTGTTTGTCTTCATTGTCTAAACCAGAAACGTGCTTCAGCCACCTTTTATTATAAGTACAAGTCATTGTCCAGTGAAATCAACAAGAGTCATAATGGAAGGGTGGGGAAAAAAAACCACATCGAACTTCCACGTCTTATCAGCTCGACACAGTGGGAGTTCTGCTTTGCAGCCAAACCACTGCACACATGCTTATCTGAGCCTCACAAACACCTCAATACCCCCGCCCCCACCCCCAACAACTACACACACTCACTGTTTGTTTCAAAGTCAAGCTCCTGACTGCAGCAGCCTCATATGATTTGCCAGCAAGGAAGGAAAAAAAAGGAGATTGTGGGAAGAAGGGTTTGGTCTGTGAAGCGTTAGAATCAATGCATCTGGGTTGCCTTTGAACACTCAGTATGCCAGCTGCTGCAATTCAGAATTAATGAGGAAGAAGGGATATAGGAAGGAAGAGGTTAATTGGAATATTAAGCGACAGGAAACTAAATTTAAAAAAAAAAAAAAAACTAAAACTAAAAAGTCTAATAATGTTGAGATCAAATATTGAGCAAAAGATTTCCCTTTACAAGAAATCTCACCTTTGTCAAACGAGGCTCTCGTGTTATAACGTTGCTGTGCTGTTACAGTGAGGTGTTTGGAAAGGGTTGGTTGTGGGGCCAAACTCTGAACAAACTCCTCGTTCACAGCAGGGTCAACCAGAGAATTTCAGACCTTACTCGACAAAGTGTCAAATCTGAGTCTGAGTTCACCCAAAATCAAATTCCACACAATTTCTTCTAAGGATTTTTTTCTGAGCTGGTGGAGGCGACACCTAGCAATATGGTGCCATGAGCCTTTTGATGTCCTTCACCATGCTGAGCTCCATTTGGCCCGACTGCGCGCAGCAGGCAATTGCAGACATTTACCTGCCATTGCCTCCCTCAGTCCCCACTCTGTTCAAGCTATCATAAGACTGTCTATCTTTACTTTGCCCATGAACTTACAGATGGAAAGGAATGGAACTGGAAGATAGATACTTTTGATCATCACTTCAAGTCTCAGAACAGACTGGAGAATATTACAGGAAAGAGAAAAATGAAAATGAGGTCTTCTCTGTCTGTTGTAAATTAATAGAAATGAGACTGCAGGTCAGAGATGACTAAGAGTGTAATGAGTCCAGAGAGTAGGATGAGTTTAAGATCTGGTGATCTTGGCACAACATATTGCAGTCATTTTTGTGTTAATGTTGTTTTTATGTCTGGAGTTATAATGGATTTAGCTATATTGTATAAAGTTGATGTCTTATTTTAATATGAGGAAGACAAAAAGAGTGTCCAGGAAGGAGAACTGTTTGGCATCTAAAGTTTCTAAACTAAATTGTATGAGAAACATAAATTGAGTGTTCTGGATTGATGGGCATTAGCTTTGAGTTGAACAGAGGCTGTTAAATACCTCAGCAACATTAAGCACATTAAAGAAAACAAAGGTATGCTGCTGCCTTGTAGATGAATGTGACGATCATCTGACCTTTTCCATTACTGGTTCTACAACATGTTTACACAATGTGACACCCCTGGATAGAATAGAATAGAACAAAATATTAGCAAGACTACATTATGATCTTACTTTGACAGTGTAAAGGTCAAATTGAGTATTTCTGTATCCTATGCCTCCAGCCATAGTCACTGAACATCACATACTGCAACATTAAACTAGAAATGGCAAATATATGAATAATATTTTCGTTGCTGGTGACCTTGATCTTGAGAATTAAGTCGGGGAGACAGTCTGACAGTTTGAGCTGAGGCAGAGCTTTCTGTTGACACCACTGGTGAGTCATAATTCGCCGTTGGATATTTTAAATTACAGACTACGGTAATTCTCATCTCAGGAATGATTGCCTTGCTTATTTCTTTCCCTAAGTATAGAAGAATTCACTGCCGAGGCCACCCACCAAACTCCAAAACTGACTTTAACATTATGAACTTGTTAATTATGACAGTCACAAAAGACAATACTCTGGAAAATTGAGTTCAAGAGTTTAATTTAATTTAGAACTGAGTTTTGTGGATGTCCAAGTTTCTACACTTTTTTTAGTCAGCAGCATCAAGTATTTGGGAAAATTATCATTTTTATTATTTATTTGACCAACACAGTACAAAACAGTAGGCTATATGTACCACTCACATTGTTTTTGACTCCACTAGCTATTGGTGGCAGAAGCTAAACAGGCACACAGTGTGTACACACTTTGTGTGTGGGGCAGCATGATGGTGTGTACACCTGCACTCAGACACACACTCATACATATTCCTCTGCTTGACTTCCACCCCTTCCTCAATATCTGCAGGAATGAGGGTGTTTTGTATAAAGACAGAGGAGGAGACCGTATTTATTATAACCTGCTGGAGCCCCAGGGGCTCACCACCTCATATTTCATCTTAATGTATCTTCACTCACAGCCTCACATATTTTTCCTCTCTTGCCGTAGCCAGGAAAACTTCAGAAGAGAGAAACAACAATGGCAAAGCAGGTGACTTGGTGTTCACAGTCAGTCTCACCTTGGCCTTATCTGAAGCTTCCATATCTCAACAGATTAAACTGCCTAAATTAGACTGTGCTCTCGCCGGACGCGGTGAGACATCCCCAGGGACCCGCAGAGGAACGATGGGTTTTTGCTGGAGCGGGGAGTGTGGCAACAGGCCTTGCTGGGCAGGCCATTATGTGCCCTGCCGTGCTGGTTGGGTGGGCCCCACTGTGCTGCTCTGCATCTATGGTTTCTGCTCCATGATGAGGCCCATAGAGCCCTTCCTGACAGAGTTCCTCACAGGAACTTACAAGAATCTCACCACCGAGCAGGTGAGGTACTGAGCTATGAAATTAGATATGTGACTGCTGTACAGTGATGGAAGCCTTAGGTTATTAGATTTGCTCTTTTTATTTTAATATACATCATATAAATAATGTAGATACATGTGAACAAAGTTATGTAAATAGGAAGTATGAATAACAAAATAATGGATGTTCAAAGTAAAAGCTGGAATTCATAAATTAATATATTTGTTCATCTATACTCAGAACTACAGTAACTAGTTGTGTTAATGTAATACATTTCAAATAACTGGTTACAAATTCAATATATAAGTAAATAAAATGTATCTAAATTGAACATTGAACTCATTTAAAGTGATTAGAAACCATTATCCATCCCATTATGACTTATTAATACACATGTTTATCGCTTCAGTGACCTTCAGATGGTTATGCCTCTAATAAATTGTTTGTTTGAATTGGAGATGAGCTTTTCAGGCTTTCTTTATGTCTTTCTTCTGAACTATGAGAGTTTACTACATGTAACAACTATGTTGGTGATTTTGTAAAGATTTTGCTATTCTTGTAGAGTTTATTCTTCACTGAGCTACATGAAAGTAAATGTGCACAGGGTCAACATTGGCTTGTTTTGATTATACTTATATCCTTACTAAACAATTTTTGGTATAGTATTTACTTATTTCTTCTATTCTGCTTCAAATCAACCTCCTGGCAGGAGTTGAATAAGTTTGCTTGACTGTTCAGAACCAAATGATGCATTGTTGAGAATGTGGAGGTGTGTCCATCAGCTTCTCTGCGAGGTTGTGCAACCTGTGGTTACCCATGACACACTTTGCAGTGAAACCATAAAGAGACATTTACATTTAGTACTTGGAAAAGGTAACAGTGGGTGCCAAAATATTGCACATATACAGTCTAGAGTCGTCAGCATAATTATGCAGCTATTGTAGAATAAGGACACAGCTGTTGTCTTTCTCCTTGAATAACATCTTGGCTGAGGAAACTTTGACTTGATGGTAGCAATAAAATAAAGTTCAGAATGCCACTAAAATAAGTAGGATTCCTTCTCCAGTGGCCAAATATATACAAGTAAAATTTCTGAGTAATCTGGCCAGTTGTTAAAAAAAAACAAAAATTTTTTGGAGAAAAAAAAAAAAAAAAAAAAAAAAAAAAAAACCCAAAAAAAAAAAAAAAAAATTTTTTTTTTTGTAAAGGGGGGGGGAACAGGAGCGCCTCTACAGTATCACACCTCACATGGTGGCATTAAGAAGAAACTAAATGGGGTCCTCCGCAGCTCTGCAATGACAATCACTTTGTGATGCATAAGGCAAGAAGGGAGCTGCTTTGTTCACACAAATTATTGTCGGTACTCTCAAGGTGTACTCATCTGATGCTCCACCGTATATGATGCAAATTACCTTTACGTCTTGTGGTCCTAAGTGGCTTTTGAGATTTATAGGAAGTTATAGAAATTAACTAAGTTTGTGAACCCTACAGGCCCTACAAATTAAATTTCCTGCTCCAATCATACCAACAAAGCCCATTTGATACCAGATTGACAAAAAAATACCAAGATATGGTCAAAGTGTAGTGTAGTCGTTTCATGGAGGATTACTATCAACCTGATATATTCCTGTTTTCCCTTAAGAACCCTGAGGTCTTAAGGTGCATTTAGACTGAACACTCACCAGCATACATTTACTGCCTTACATTCTCTGTCTTGACTGCCCAGACTTTAGCTGTACCTGTTAGCTTGCTAGACCCTAACTGATCTCTAAACATACCCAGTAGTCCATCTCTGTGTTATTTCCCCCCAATTTCTCTCCTACTTGCTCAAATTGAAACATGTTTAGCTTGTAAGGACGCATCTCAGTTTGGTGCTCTATGTCTGTTTGTGTTACTTAATATTCGCATTTGTTTAGCTGTTGTGAAAAATGTTGTGTTAATAGACCAGTGTGTAGGATTTAGTGCCATCAAGTGGTATAGCTGCAGATTACAACCCCCTCATGTCAACCTCCTGTTTCAAGCATGTAGAAGAAACTACAGTGGCTGCGAAACTGGCGAAAAAAAGGCCCTATCTAAGCCAGTGCTTGGTTGGTCTGTTCTGGGCTACTGTAGAAACACGGCAGTTCAACATGGCGGTGTCTGCAGAAGATGACACACTCCCTGTGTAGATAAAATGGCAAATTATTCATTATTATTTCATTATACACTAATGAAAACATACCCATGAATATTATATTACATTTTTGCCAATAGATCCTCCCAAATGTTACACACTGGACCTTTTAACTGTTTCTAGGAACTGCTACACCAGCTTCTGGGTCCAATAAAAAGGGCTGTTGTTACTGGTTGGTAAAGACAAAACAGAAAAAAGTAACTACCCCTGCAGTACCAAAGTGATGGTGAAGAGGAAAGTTAGACCTCATTGTAGTAAAAAGAAATCAGGGGGACACCAATGTAATTAGGATTTATTCTCAGGGGACAAATGAGTTCATATCAAACCATTATTTAAATGTAATTTTTAAGATTTCGGTCCTGGTTGAATTGTAGACACCTGTGGTTTTCATGGTAACAGCAAGGGCTAGGGCAAGTTAAATACTAGAGCAACTACTACTACTTTGTCAGGAAATACAACAGAGAAGCAACTGACGTGTCTGTTTACAATGCGGCCAAACAAACTCACTTTAATAAAGAAGTCTGTCAATAATAATTGCAACCGCAATCTGATTTCATGCTGCACATGGCATGGAACGCCAACAACCGGGACCTCTCATCCACATACATTGTTTTGTTAATCAGGAGTTGATGGTTTGCAGATCCCCTCGAGACATGTATTAAGACACATATACAAATAATTTGCATGGAACAATAGTGTATGTTTTTTCCACAAAAGACTATAATTCCCACATTAAAATCTTTAAAAAGTCATCTACTTCTTCTACTTGTTTCAACATCACAATTGTATAAGTTGCAAATTGGACTAGGATCGACTTACAAACTATTTGTGATGTCACAAATTATGCTTTTAGGCCCCGCCCCTTAAAATCAGATTTTCAATGAGCAAGAGAAAAGAGCAAAAAATGTGAACAAAACAATTCTACTGTCAAACTCTGTCAAATGCACATCCAATTGTTAGAACAGCAAGAGAACATTTATTTTTTTATATTTTTGAGTGGAGGGGGACTTTAAATCAAGCCACTGCCATAAAAACCCATCTTTGAATATTATTTCGAGGCCAAAGTGGAACACAAAAAACAACTTTAATGAGAACTTAATTTAAGAACCATATTTTGCTTAATTGCAGCTGCCTTTAAAGCTGCAGCTATTGTGTTTATTTGCATAATATTAAAATTTGTCAACATGTTGCTTAATGAGCCTCATTCGTATTGCTTCCTGTTCTGTCATGTGAATGGAGAAGTCATTTTTCACTGACAATGAGTAGAGGTGGAATTGCGTCTGGTGTGCTACTGTCATTGTGGATACTCCTGCAATCAGCAGTAAAGGGATCATTTTCTAAAAAATAATAATTAGGTCTTTGTTTGCCTTCCTCCATATCCAGGTGACTAGACAGGTGTATCCTGTGTGGACTTACTCCAGCCTGGTTCTCCTCATCCCAGTCCTCCTGGTGACAGACTTCCTCAGGTACAAGCCTGTAATCATCCTCCAGGGGCTCACCTATGTCACAGCGTTTCTGCTGGTACTGTTTGGCTCGGGGGTCCACTCGGCTCAGTTGGCCTTCTTCTGCTACAGCATTGCCACGGCAGCAGATGTGGCCTATTTCTCCTACATTTACAGCATAGTTCCGCCCAGCTATTATCAGAGAGTGACCAGTTATGTCAGAGGGGCCATACTGCTGGGCTATGCTGTGGGTGCCCTGCTGGCCCAACTGCTTCTGTCTTTGGGCAGGGTGTCCTTGTACTGCTTAGGTTTTATAACTCTCATTTCTGTTTCCGTAGCACTGATAACCTCCTTTTTCCTTCCCATGCCTAAGACTAGTTTATTTCTTAAGGGTACATATTCTGCACAACAGGAAAACTCAGATGAGGACACTCACAGCTCTGAAAGCCAGGACTTCTTTATCTGGGTGAAGAGTGTGACAGCTGCCAAGCATGTTGGAACGATGTTCAGAGGGCTTATATTGGACTGTAAGAAATGCTATTCCTCTGTGGCTGTGCTCTTCTTCTGCATATGGGCAGCTACAGGGAGATGCGGCTTTTACCAGGTTACAGGTTATGTCCAGCTCCTCTGGGTATATATGCAGCCCAACAACTTCACAGCCTACAATGGAGGGGTGGATGCCATCAGCACATTGACAGGTAACTACTGCACCACTGATTTGTTTTTGTTTCCTCAATACAGTAATTTGTTTTTCATACAGCAACAGAAAAGTTACTGTGTAAAAAGAATTACTACATTTAATATGAAAGAGGTCTCTAGCAGTGATAAACCCAGAGCGTATTATCCCCCCCACACCCTTTCGGTGTGGACTCAGTCAAGCTTGCCAACTTGGACTTTAACACCAATCACTCTTGACTTTACTTGGCTTGAGCCTCTTTTCTGGTGAATACGTGATACCTTCCCCAAGCCCAAAGATTAAAAAGAATGTTTTTTGAAAGTCCTCAATTCATTCCCTTAAACAGCTAATGTTAAAGCTATTAATTCCCAGCAAGTCGACACTTATTTCCCCAGATCCACTTTGTATGAACTGGTCCAGCACCATCCAATGAAGTTGCAGGAGAGAAACATGAAGAACTAACGTTACGTTACTCACTGTACAAACTACACTGTGGGTTTTGGGGGAGCTCATTCTTGATTAGGGAATAATGACGATTCGGCATGCAGACTGAATGGGACTAAGAAAGTTATTTTTTTCCAAAAGTTAAAGTGAATGAGGTTTAGGTAGATTTAGATATTGCATCACCACACTTGGTTGGTGATGGCAAGAATGTTAATCAAAGTAAATAATTAATGGGGGCCCAGTTAGCTCAGTAGGTAGAGCTGGCAACCCATGTACAAAGGCTGAATCCTGAATCCTTGCTACAGCGGCCCACGGTTCGAGTCCGACCTGCAGCCCTTTGCTGCGTATCATACCCTCTCTCTCTGCCCCACTTTCCCGTCTACCTTCGGCTGTCTCTATCAATTAAAGGCAATAAAAAGCCCCAAAAAATACTTAAAAAAAATAAAAATAAAAAGTAAATAATTGATGAATCACCCTTATGCATGAATCATACATCAATCATAGCTATGTATGGCAAAAATAGCTTATTATTTCACAATTCATGTTTTCAGGGAGCTTATGTCATGCCAAGCTCCCCCTGGCTCCCGTATAGTTCACACCCTGATGTTACTGAGAGCCAGTCAGAATAAATAATACCAAAGATAATTTTGCTTTGTTCATTGTGTTGTTAAAATGGCATTGCATTAGGTTTAGACTTGACTCCAAGAACATGAGACTTGTGACTTGCAATACAATGACTTGGTCCCACAGCTGTCTCTTAGCTCATTGTTTCAAATTTAATGACTTGGTTAAGTCTCAGCGCTCTCATCAACATTGTGTCCAACAAGCAGAGAGCTTTGATATCTCCATTGTGTGCTACTTGCCCAGCACCAAACAGCAGATAAAGTTAGCAACTAGCTAGTAAACATAGGGGAGCATTTAGCTACTAATCCATTGCATTTTGTAAAAAAAAATATTGTAATTTTTACTGAACTATTTCAATTTGACAGTTATAGATGCTGGTTATTTTTCAGAATGATTTTACATAAAAAAAACCTATGATCATTATATAAACTATAATGTACATATAGTAATTAAAATTAGCTGCCAGCTACAACAATATAATGCTTCTTTCATGGTAATGCATCACTAATTATCCAATAAAATTATAATGAACAAAATCAGTCTCCACTGGTCGCCTGGGAGCTGAAGGTGACTTCAGGAAGTTAAGACTCCTGGCTAAGAAATAGCCTGGCTTATAACGCTCTGTAAAACTTAAACCTGACGTTTTTACTCTTCGGTCTTTGTATGGATTAAGCAAACAAGATGTGTTAATTAACAAGCTTTAGAGCTGTTGGTAGGAGGATTTTGTTACTTTTGGATAGAGCCAGGCTAGCTGTTTTCCCTTGTTTCCAGTCTTTATGTTGAGTTAAGATAACCAGGTGCAGGCGATACCCATATACGTATTTACCAGACAGGTACAAGAGTGGTATCGATCTTCTCAATTAACACTTGGAGGGAAAGCGAATATGCATCCCAAATGTTGAATTATCACTCTGAATACTGCCTTCACTGATTGTCATTGGTATTAAGTTAAAAAAAAATTGGAAAAACTTTGCAACCTCCCACACTTGCTTCCCACACAGTTTGATTCTCCACTGTCACTCCCAACCTAAGATGAATTGTTGAAAACTGATTAATTCTGAATTGCAACTGTAGCAAATCCAGCTTAACAGAACAGGTTTAGTTTCTTGTAAAAACAAGTCCAAACATTTTCTTTAAAGCTTATGGGTGTTGCACACATTCTGCTACAAAAAAATAATTGAATAAATAGACAGAAAGACAGAAAGAAAACACAATCCCTTTCTAGTATCAGTATTTCACAACCCCCAAAGCACGGCAGACAATGGGAGCAGCATTAATTAGACTATTTAATTGCCTACTCTCATCCCCAGATGGGTAAAGCAGCTGCTGCCATCCAGCCAGTGCACTTTTATTGATTATAGTACTGATACATCCCTGTATTCCCCAGAAACCAAAGGCAATTACTCTGTGTAAACCACATCCAGCTGTATGCCTTTCACTTGTAAATGGTTCTGCACAACACGCAGTCAAGCTGTAGGGCCCATGTCTGATATTTCCCCAAAGATTCCTGTTGTATTTTCTCTGTTCCACACTTAGAAAACATCCCTGAGGAAAAAACCTGGTGGAAACCGATAGGGAAAATATGAATATGGATTACTAACATGATAAAATATGGTAGAAAAGCACAACATAATTTACTATTTTCATATTCAGCATATTAATAACTATATGTCCTGGAGGTTGAAAACAATATTTTTTAGAAGCTCATTAGTATTAAGATAAAACCAAATGTTTATGCAGAACAAAATGAGTTGTGTTCAGTTATATTGTTTTTTACAGTATGATTTTCAAGGAGAAGGAGTTACAGGGCACCACAGCCCATCAATTAGTTTCTCGTCTAAAAGCAGTAATTACAAGTTATTTACACTTCAAACATTTAAGTCAATGGATAATGTATTCAGAACACAGCTTCAGTCAGGACATTACCTTCCCCAGGTCAGGCATGTCCAAGGTTTTGCATTTCAATTGGCATGAACCTGCATGCTGAATATATTTCCGTTTAGATTTAGGCCACACACCAGCGCTCACAGTGTGCAAATTCACATTTTTCTCCCCCACATACAACACACATGCAGTGTGATGTTATCTAACCAGCGTGAAAAGCTGAACACAACATGAGCTCACATGTTTTTCCCCATCTGTGCCACACACGTCACAAAACGGTTTAGTGTGACCTGCATGCAGCTTGTGTTTGAGCCACATTAAAACTAATGATGCCACAGTGAATCGGGTGATGCCATCAGGGTTGACTCAATTTGAACTTGAAGACTACAAATACTTAAGGGGAAGCCTGTGTAACCGGGGGGCATGGAGTGCGCATTTAGTTTATGTCTTGAGAAAGTACTAGACTATATGATTAAAAAATGGACGTAGCCTCCATGACATGGCGGCTCTTCAGAATGCCATGCCCTGATTTAAACATAACTTTAAGCTCCAATCAGAGGTTTTGCAGAATTTCCAAATAGTTATGTTCTTGTCTGGCGGGAGGATTGTAAGGTTAGGTAAAGATCATGGTCTCAGCTAAATATTTAAAAAGTCACCAGTGACTTAAAGTTAGAAACGGGGCATCTTTACTTATTCAGAATTTAACCCACACCACAACAGTATCTTTTCCTAACCTTACTATGTAAGTGTTTTTGTAGCTTAAATCTGGCCACAGAGGACAGGAAGCCTGGTCTCCCACTACAGTATCTGCCCCAGTCACCTCCCTACAACAAAAATGTACAAGTTCCTGGAAACATCCTTGCCACTGGACATATTCCAGGGAGAACTTACCTTTTCTCCAAAATGTATTTTGCATAACAGTGTGATAGGATATAAATGTATTTTTTAGATGACAGGATGTTTATGTTATAATCCAAGATCTCTTTAATGTCCTCTTGCTGTCAGATGTAAAATGGGTTTAATTACATTTATCCAATTAAACTGAGATACGAGCACCGATTTGGCATTTAACATTAACTCCTGCTGTTTGACCATACTGAGAGCCCAGCTGCATTATTGATCTCTGTCCATGAAGCTGTACAGCTGGCTTCAGCTGACCCTGCTAAGCCTCCAATTGACACTGCTGTGGAAACTGGTCTGATTATTCAGTCTCTATGAGACCCCCCTCTGCTAATCAGAGCCAGGGGGATTGATTAAGAACATGTTAAATACACGGACGGCCCTGGCGGTGTTCATGTTTGACTATTAGCACTGATTGACCACAAATGGACAAGGAATCAAAGGAAATGTACACATTCAAAAGAGAGAGGCAATTATACTCAGCCTCTCTTTATATTCTAGTGGATAAAAAGCTTTGCAGGAATGGATCCATGTCTCTGGGGATGCAAGGGTTTCGAACTCACCTCACTGAATGAGACAGGTTCAGTTTTTATTTAACCTTCACCAATTACAAGAAAGTTTTGACAAGGCAGCAGTAGTAATGGAGAACATGTGATGCATTATGTAGCAAGTGAGTTAAGGTAATGTGAGAGGAAGAGGTGGAGAATGAGGGGAAGAAAAGGGGAGACAAGACTGTCTTAAAATAATCAATACTCCAAAGATTCACTATCTGGAGTCCCTGATTTTATATCCATCCACAGGGATAAAGGCCTCATAACTCTGTCACATTTGGTAAAAGAAGCCTTGTGATGCATCAGGGCTGCACTGTGCCACCTTGTGGCTGAAACGAGAAACACTGTTTTCCAAAATGATTGTTGGAAAGCTCAGAGTTCAACTATTAGAGGATTTTAATGTTGGATATCAGTGTCTGAGAGGAATTATATCTATAATATGTTTTCCTGCTACTTAAAATTGTCAATGTTGCATGCATTAATGATTGAACCCTCCCTTTAAAAACGGACTCTTTGAGAGACTATATGAGTGATGAACCATGAAACAAAATTAAATTAATTTAATGATGAATGAATGGATTATACTTTTTTTATGTCTCGCACACAATAAGCAGCAGACCATGAGATGTGCCACAAAACATAACCTAAACACATTAATATCCATCACACACAATGTATAAAACAACCATAAGGGGCATTTCTTTCTTCCTAAATCAAATCATATAGTCCATGTGTACAATACCAAAGCTCTTTCTCGTTGATGCCTGCTCCATTGCTGGTTAGCTTATACACTCTTTAAGCCACCTATGAGTAATATTAAAGTCATTTTTCTGTATTTTCCAGTTCATTCATATTGTTTTTGTTTTTTTTTTACTTCAAGCAGTAAGTCTATGTGAAATGAAAAGTTGAATTCTCATTATTATTAATTGAAACTGTTTTTGAATTGCGAATTTCTAGCAAAATTACTGAAAGAATAAGAATAAGAAGGAACGGGGAGAGATATTGGTTTTGACTGTTTGTAGGAGATTATTTTTTCCCACAATGTGCCTAAAAATCTGACCAACAATTAGACATGATCCCTGAGGTCTCTCTTTGGCATTTTTTGCTACTCCTCAGTTACGTTATGGTAATGTACTGACTCACAGAGTAATCGTGTTCTCCTTTAGGAGCTGCAGCCTCTGTTGCTGTGGGACACATGTCTCTGGAGTGGTCTGTGTGGGGGGAGCTGGTCCTGGGAGGTTTCACATTCCTGATCGCTGGAGCCATATTCCTGATGGATCTGACTGACAACATCTGGATCAACTACACATGCTTTTCCCTCTTCAAAACAATTTACTTACAGCTCGCCACCATCTGCACGTAAGAATTCATGTCAGCAGCACATGGAGACTGCAGCTGAATCCACAAATAGCGATCCACAAATACTATGTATCAATGTGAATGAATCTACTGGGGAGAATTTAAATATGTGATGCCAAAAATGCACCACAAGATTTTTTTAAACAAGTTTAATGTTGCTGTAGCACAGTTATTGACAAATTTGCTTTTCTGAACCTTTGAGCAGGTTGGTTTAGCTTTTTATTTGGGCCTCCTCATGTAATTTGGGCTCTAGCACTGCTTCACACTCAGATCATGTAAAGGTTTCCACCTTGAGCATGACATAAATACATCCACTACTAACACCAAAAGTCCGCCTGAGATATCGTCCTTCATTATAAATCATTGTGACACATCTATGATCCATCCACCACTTCGGAAAATCTGAAGTCAAACTGAAAAATATCTCTACAATTGTTAGATAGGTTGCTGTCATGATCACCAGAGGAAGACTTTATTAATCCCCTGATGTTTCCTTTATAGGCACCAAAAAGTGCCTAAAGTTTTTACTTTTTTATCTTTGAAATATCTTAACATCTAATTAATTAATGGACACCAAATTTAATAAATACATCCAAGGTTCAAGACAATGTATTCTAGATGTTGACTTTTCCTCTAGTGCCACCATGAGTTTGAAATTTGTGGTTTTGAGTGAAATGGCTCTTTGGGATGAACTGACAAGAAATGTGGGGCAGAAGTTCATGGCAAACTCAGGATGAAGTGCAATAACTTTGGTGTTTCTCTAATGTTTCATTTGCATTTGATCATCAGGTCAAAAATTTACATTTTGTCCAATATTATTGCCTATGACCAAATTTCTCCAAACCTAATGCAATTTCCATCAGCCTCAGTTCTACTTAAGTACTATACTTAACTTGTTTAATGCCAGTTAGCAAATGTTAGCATGCTAATACCCTAAACTTAGATGGTGAATATGCTTAAGATTACCTGTTTACACATTAACATATTAGCATTATCATTAGAGCTGCAACAATTAGCTGATTAAGCAATTCAAGGATTCACTTAATCATCGACAACTATTGATAGATTTGAGAATTTCAGAAAAAAAATGTCCAAATTGTCCGATTTCAGCTTCACAAATGTGATTATTTTCTGATTTCTTTGGACCTCTGGGACAGTAAACTGAATATCTTTGAGTTGTGGACAAGACTAGATTTGGAAACAGTGATCAACATTTTTCACCATTTTCTTTTGGCCCGTAAGACTAATTGATGATTGACAGATTAATTTATAATTAAAATAATAATTAGTTGCAATAAAATTGTCATTTTGAACAGAATGCCATGTTGATGTTAGCATTTAGCTCAAAGAGCTATTGTGCCTTTAAGCACAACCAGAGCTCTTAGCATAGCTGTAGACTCTTATTCTTGTTATAATTAAAACAGTATATATATATATCCTATTCTAATTGATCCTTTTTTTGCCATATTTGATTGTCTTTTGTGATAGGTTCTTAACATAAACCCCTTGATATTAATATTAGTAAAAATAATTTAATTTTACTGTGTGGCATGTCATATATGTCTATCCAAGTTTTCAGATAGCCAAGATGTTGAACAGGAGGCGCTATGCGTTGGTATTCGGCATAAATAGTTTTGTGGGCACAGTCCTCCAGAGTGTCCTCACTGCCATTGTCATCAACACCCAGTCTCTACAGCTCACCATCACCTCACAGGTACTGCAGTACACACAGACCATACACTGAGTTCAGGAGATTTAAACTTATTTATATGTCCATGTACTTAACATGCACATATACTTTATTTTAAGAACAAGAATAAGTAACGTGAACTTTTTTAAACTGGGGTTATAAAGAGTTTTTACAGTAAGTTACAAATTGAGGAATATTACTACAGAGGAAAATAAAATAAACTGCGTTTGAATATATAAAGAAAATAAAGAAAATTAAGAGAACCGATAAAAAGCCTCAGAACAAAGTTATGCTGTTTGGAGGGCATTTGATGAACATACAGTAGGGAGACAGACCACAAGAGATGAAAAGGAATAACTGGATGAATTCATTAATTTATAAGTCACCATACACGGTGCAAGTAATCCTCTCATTTCTTTTCAGTTTCTTATCTACGCCTCATACTTTGCTGCTATTTCCCTGCTGTTCACAGTCAGAGGTGTGTATACTGTGCTCCACATGAAATGTCCTGCTGGAGGCAACCATGCAGAGAGAGACACCAGCCTGCCACAGGGTTCAAGTCTGTGAAGACTCTCTGAGACACCAAAGGATATGAGGATTTTTATCATAACTGTCATCATCTATTACAGCAGCAACAGAATAAAAAGTATTTGTAGACACTGTACATTCATGTACATCAACATATTCAATCAATCAAAGAGTGGTTATTTATCAGTCTGTCGTCAGCAGGATTCAACTAATTGATTCTACAGATGTGCTATGACTCAAATAGTGAAAGTGCAATATCTACACTCAGCCACTAGAGGACGCTATCTGCACAATATAAAACAAGAATAAGTCAACTATTACATATTTTGGATATTCAAAGCTATGATTCTTAGTCTAATTATTTTGAAATGTTAAGATTTATATTGTTTCCAATATGCAATGGATTTGTTTGTTTGTATGTATTTGAAATAGCAGTTTCATGGTGTGACTTGTCAAATTCACATAATCAATGGCCATACATCATGGGGTTACATGGACAAATAGGCTCACAAACTATATTTCTGATGTTTTGTTTTTTTTGAGCACTTGTCATTGAGTTTCATGGTTGTGAAGTTCAGTGTAACTTATGAGCAACATTTGGTAACATACAGACTTATAAGCTCAATTAAAATCAGGACAGCAAAAATATTGTGGTTCCAGTAGAATAATTACACAGACACTTCTCGGAATATCATTTATAATAAAAAAAACAAAAAAAAAACATGTATTCATATAAGATTATATTGTTAAATAATGTATGAGAAACAATATAACATTCTATAATATTACTATCATTATGTTCTTCCTTTTCTCAGTAATTGTGTTCACTTATGTGTAAATATGCCTCACCCACAATGAGTCTAATGTCTGCTTCTTGTGATTGCTGGTTGATTGATTAAAAAAAAAAAAATCTACAAACACAATCAATACCGAAGGCGCAATCATGTTTAAACTGATACTTATCAGGCTGGCATGATCATTTATGTAAGCTCTGAGTAGGGGAGCTTGTGCAGGATTGGTAACAAACAGCCTGCTCTCATTATATTCAGTGAGTGTGATTCCTGGTCTTTCTAGAAAACACGTTCTCTACAGCTACTTAAAGAGATACTTCCTGGTTTTATTCTTGCTGTTGATGTTTTGATACTCAATCAACAATAATCTAGGGGTAAATGTGTGAGTGAGGGGCACTGTTAGGTGCAATAACACAGTGATGGAGCATATCTTAAAGTAACATGTTGTTGCCAGGTAACAGATGTGTTTCTTTTTAGGGCATAGAGACTCATTCAAAAAGCTCTGACTTTGTCAGCCGTAGCTGATATTTGTGTTTGTATAAAAGCGAAGCATCAGGGGGCATGCCTACACGAATGTATATTTCCAGTAATTAAATCTACAGTACTAAACATGTGCAATAATCATCATCCTCTTTGGAAGAGCGACCTTGTTAAAATCAGTTCAGTGCTGTGATTCTCAGCAGGTGGTGGGAAAACCTGATGCTCTAATTCTGCATGTTTATATTAGCCTATTAGAAATTTGTGCCTTCATTCATAAACACTGTACAGCATTCAGGCAGACAGAGAAGAAATGGAAATGACACAAGTGGTCAGATAATGCATGTGTAGTCACGTCTGACCTATAATTCATAATTAAACAGTAAGATAATTAAGGTTCTAAGATGGATAACAGGGGCAGCTATTAGCAGGAATGAGCTGGCATATTGTATGCGTGGCACATGCTAATTGTTCATATCTTGATGATGACATGTCCCTGAGTTTCATCAGGTGTCTTATTAAATGTATAGTGAAGTGGCCGCTTCTTTGCTACTCAAAACTAGGGCTTGAAAATACAAATACATACAGCATTATATTAAGTGTTAAATAAGCAATTTCTGCCTAATGTTTTTTTGTAGTCAGTAAATATATCAGTCAACCTTAATATTATTTTTTCCTGCTTGTGTTATTGCAGGTCATCTGCTCATTAAATGAAAGTGAAACCAGGTGTGCATCCGGTTGAAGGGAGGGTCAGTTTGTTCTACAAATGACATTGTGTTAAAGTTAATGCACTTATGCATATACTTGTGTGTCCATAATGGAACATTTGGCAGGCTGTAATGAATACAGTATCTTAAGTATCTTTTGTGTTTGTTAATGCATATTCTTTTATTTGCATGATAGCACCTGTTTAACTCACTCCCGTGCTTACCAGATGGTAGGTTCTATATTAAGGTGAGTCTGAGTCAAAAGATCAGATCATTTAGCTTTTGATGGTGTCTTGCTGTGAGGCTGTGGGTTTTATTTTTAGCCATGCTAGCTGGGACTGTCAGCCGGTCTTGCTGTGAGGCTGTGGGTTTCTAGGGAAGGCCATGTCGCTCGGACTGTCAGCCGGTCCACCAGGTCCAGACTGAAATATCTCAACAACCACTGGATGGTTTCTCTGGAAATTTTGCACAGAAACCTTAAGGATTTATTGTGATCACTTTGATGAACCCCTAACTTTTCATCTAGCGACATTATTTCAGTCTGTAAAGTACACATTGGCTGACTATTTAATTTGGCTTTCTCCTTCCCTTTTGCTATGTGAATTTTTGTTTTTATAGCATAATGATAATGGGTGCAAGCCAGAACTTTCTCCAGTGCCGGCACAGTGCTAAAACCAATGGTGGAGGTTCTGTGAGCACACACACAGACATTATTTTAAAAAGGTATCTCAGAGATAAGTTTGGTCTTAAAGGGTCGCTTCACTAAATTCACAAGAATCATTCTTCCTTATAAACTACCAGTTGTATGTAGCTTTTTGTATACTATATAGCCTATATGTATTTCTGGACATTTATAACACATTTTTATAATGACATTTTTTTATCCTGTGAGCACCACAAGTGAAATTCTATTTGAGAGCTAGATAGCACTAGTTATAAGTGATTAAATGTGGTTGGATGAACTGGACCTTTAGGGTATTTTATACTGAGTAAAACAGCAGTCAGTTTCTGTTGATTCGCAGAAAAAAAACTCAGGTGTTACTATTAATAAAGTCTCCGCTCTATTTAAGTGTCTTAGTAAGCCATGTCAATGTGACAGTGAGCCTGCATGCATAATAGCAGGACTTTGAAACTGAAGCAGCTAAAGGAAATTCAGCTATCATTAATTCTATTATTCACACTTTTGCTGTTTCTGCTGTGACAGGTCAAAATGTCTTCTGTGAAAAAGGTCTGTTGGGATAATGTGTCTCCCTTTGAGAATCAGTTCTTGGTATTGGTTAGAGGTCAACATAAAAGCAATTCTCAAAAAGCGGATCTGTTGCAGCCGTCAGACAGTCAGGATAAGAATGGAGAAATTAGAAAAAAAAGTTTATCCTTTAAATTAAAGAGTTAATGTTTCCTTGAGGAACATTTCAAGGAATAGATGCTTACTCATGTGAAGTCAACTTTCCACATAAACCCACTCCTGTGACTCATAGATGGGAAAGATTGTGTACCGTTTACTCAGTTGTGGTTACCTCTCTTTCGGTCAGAGGAAGACACTAAATATACTGTGTTGTCAGATAAAACAAGGAAACAAGTTCATACCATCATCAGCTTAGTATCACACTATCAGCTATTCAGCAAATGAACAGCACCAACACACCTTATTGCAGTTTGCTTAGGTCATACAGTCATCATTCCCTCCCCTGAGAGAAAAGAAAAGTACCCGCAGTTTACTTGGATGGATTTATTGAATCAGAGACAGAAGTACTAAAGATAGACGCAATTAATGACCTTCATATCATAATACCTTGGCTGACGCATGGGTTTTCACACCCTCGTAAAACCCTCATGGACCAGACAGGTTATATGCAGTAGTTTTATCTCAACAATGTTATTACTGAAAACACTATAATGTATGTGTTTTTTCAAAGGACTATATCGGAAAAGGAAGGAGATCCTGATCACAAAGTCAGACATTAAAGTTCAGAATGAATCAGAACTTTACAGTTACATCGATTTTGCACACCTTACTGCAGTTTGCACACTTGTATGCAAGCACAAACCTAAAAGGATATACGTTTACTTTTCAATTTTATGTTAATAAAATGTTTTTGACATTTGATTTTTCTCTTAAAAGAATCATATTTCATCTGTGCTCTATTTCTTTTAGTCCCACATCTAACAGCAATATATTACGGTTTTTAGGAAAATGTAAACACAATAAATTCTTGTTTTTTTCCAAAGATACCCAATGTTACATCACCTCAAATTGGTCGATTTTGTCAGTTTTTTATGTTTGAAACTTTTTACTGATGCAATACAGTCCTTTAGAATGTGATTTTGCAAATAAAAACTGAAAAGAGTTGATGGCGCACACAACTCAGAATTCTATTAGTATTAGAAGAAAAGAAAAGACTATATCGAGTGATAGCAGGCATCAAACCACTGCCTGAAATGGGCCAGTACTCACACACACTTTAGATTTCTGTCCCAATGTACCCTTACTCTTTGTGTACTACCATAACCTCCTGATGAATCTACGCACCTCTAAACACCCTAATAACACTTTTTCTTTTCCAAAGACGTGTCAGTCAGAGAGGCAGACTGACACGTGCTTGTTGTTTTCGTTGGTTAGGGTTGGGGTTAGAAAAAAAACTGTCATGATCAGAGCCAATCAGAGGCAGAGTAGAGCTAGAATGCATGGTCGGAAAAATGTAACACCTGCGTAACTGCATCTCTGTAAACACGTGGAGGAAAACAGCTCTGAAAATGACCTTGTTAAAATGGATAAAAAACGGCAAAAAGAATTAGAGTTAGGGTTGTGCTTAATTAGGGTACCGCTACCTTTTGTTGGTCCAATTCAGGCACTGCATCAAACATTCTCTCTCATTTAGTTACTTTTGTTTTATGGCCTTTGCTTCAATAAATCATATCACCAAATAAAAACATCAAATGGAAGATCTGTTGCAGTTCACTAACCATGTGATCACTGATTTCTTGTGGTGTCCGACACCTTCCGTATCCTTGCAGAATGTCCGATTGTACCTCCCACACAAAACTGTTTTACAGCCAACATTTTCTGCTAGGGCTTGGAGCTGCCACAGTGCCTCTTCTTCACACTTGTTTAATGCCAGTAGCATGATTTCATGTTATTTAGCTATTTACTATTTAAATAACAGACTTAAACAATAATTGTGTTAATTAACTGAAGCTATGCAGGTCTATCCCCATTTTTTTTAAATACACTCCAGAATTTCAGGCAACTTCCTTTTTCTTTCTATTGACAGTAATATATACAGTCAGTAATGACAGCTGGGGCATTTCCCTTTAATGGAACTGTTAGTCAACACTACTGTAACTGTAGAGGCGTGGTGCTTATTATTTATGATTTTATTGTTAGAGCTTTTCCAATGTCACTCCCACTGAGCACACTGTGAAGAGAAAATATCTTCCACTGAACTGGCTTTCTATCGTGTCCCACGTCTTTGATGGATCAGTTCAACTTTTTTTTGTTTCCAGTCTTGAGTTTAATATTAAAGACTGACACATACAATTTCATAACTGCATTACTCCATTAATTTATTCTGAGCAGCACATTGAAACTTATCTGTACTGGTTGGACCAATCCCACTTCTAGAGGAAAATGTCTCTCTTCTGTGTCAGCAACTATTTCTATATCTTGATTTTGGGTGTTTCGATCTTCATTGACATGTTAGTAAAACACCTGGTACCAGATGATTAATAAGCCAACAGCCTGCTGGTGTGGTAGAGGGAAGCCCTCCAGTCATCTCAACCTTTAATCAAACAGTGATCAAACACCACGCAACACTCACTTGCATTACTCAAGTACTGCTTCATGTATCAGTTTGACACGTGGGTCTTC